GGGCTGCAGGTGATGGGGCAACATTCAGGGTTCCTGCTTCAGAGGCAAGGGCAAAGGGAGTGGGCTCCTAGGAGCCTGGAGAAGTGTCTAGGGCTTGACTCCAGTGGGCTGGTGGTGGCCCATTCTTCCTGCCTCTTGCTAGGGTACTGCGCAGTGCTCAGGAGAGTCTTGGCCACCAGCTGTTGAAAGTCCTATGGGGAGCAGGGCTCCTCACACAGTCGGCCCTCTGGATACCTTCCTCTCTGTCAGAACCTTCCTGGCCTGAGCTTTTGGCAGGCTTCCTGTTGCTCCCTGTGCCCAATGTGCTCACGGCCCCTCTACTTTCCCAGAGGCTCCTGAGGGTTCTTCCTGCCTCCCTCCAGGTTAGGGGACTCTGCTACAGAGTGGGTGCAGAAGGCCCAAGGCAGGGGAAGTGGACAGGGTGCGGTGGGTGTGTCACAGGGCACAGGGAACTGTGGGAAAGAAGGTGCATCCTTGTGTTGCCTACCAAGCACCATCAGGGAGGTCCAGACCCCCAAAGAAGTCCCAGGTGACCTTGGTGAGAGCCTGGGACCAAGGTGGGGCTGCTGAAGAGTGAGGGTCGGGACCAGTTCTGCTCATAGGGAGACCCTGGAGGGACAGGCCTGGGCACCTAGGGCCCACACTCCAGGCTACAGTAGGGCCAGGAGCTTGCAGTGTGGGGAGGGAGGCTGCAGGTACCAGGGAAGGGTGTTTGTAGGGATGGAGTGGTCTGCCAGTGGAGAAGGCTCCGGGGAGACTTGGGACATGGTGGGGTGGGGATTGTTGGGCAGGGTGCCAACATCCAAACCAGAGTGGGACAGTCTGGAGCCCAGTGGGACTGCTCTCATACAGGAGGGCGACATTCTGGGAGTCTGAGGGTTGGAGTGCCAGGATTTGGGAGGGGCGAGTCCTGCTGGGGACTGGAGGCAGAGACACATCTCCTGCCACCTGTACCATCATCTTCCTCCTCATTCTCTGCTCCCCAGCTGCAGCACAGCAGTCAGCCCAGGTACCCTCAGGTATAGGGGCCTGACCAGGACAGTGCTGGCCTGTGGCAGGACCTCTATTCCTGCACCCTGAGCACGCCTCCCCCTTCTTGCAGTCCACCAGTTCCTTGAGAGTGGGGTCAGCCCTGACCTGGCCAACGAGGACGGTCTGACAGCCCTGCACCAGGTCAGCCCTATGGGGGTGGGGGAGGGAGT